TACCGTACAAATGCTCTGTTAGTCTTTCCCTCATCTGTGTGTGGGGAGTACCTACAGTATACACACAGGGCAGGGGGCAGCTTGGCTGGTGCAGAACGTTAGGCAGCCACATGGCTTTGTGGAAGTATAATTTGTTTTTTAACCTTTCCTAAACATACGTTATTTGGAGAGCTTTGGCTGCTCATACAGTGGTGCAGCCACCATCACAGTTGTTACAGGTGTTCACCTGAAAGTGATCCTCACCACTCAGCAGCATCTTCCCTGACACCCTGCTCATCCGTAGGCCAGTGCGCTACTTTCCTTCCTTCCTTCCTTCCTTCCTTCCTTCCTTCCTTCCTTCCTTCCTTCCTTCCTTCCAATTTGTTTTATGTATGTGAGTACATTGTAGCTGTCTTCAGACACACCAGATCCCATTACAGATGGTTGTCACCCACCATGTGGTTGCTGGGAATTGAACTCAGGGCCCCTGGAAGAGGAGTCAGTGCTCTTAACCACTGAGCTATCTTTCCAGCCCTCTCCTCTGCTTTCTATCTCAGTAGATTTCACTGTTGGCTGTTTTGGGTCATAAAATGAGGTGATTTCTTTAAGTTTCTAGTGGATCTATTGCCGCAGCTATCACAGCTCCAGCTTCTTGTATTGCTGAGTAGAATTCCACTATATGACTTAAAATTTTGTATCTCTTTGACCATTTGTAGTCTCACCACTTTTTGACTTTTGTACATAATGTTTCTGAGTATATTTATGAGTTAGTTTTCATAAGAACGTGGTTTCATTCCCTGATAGTAATTGCTGGATCATATGCAAACTTTGTTTAATATTTAGAAGTAATTGGAATATTGCTCACCAGTGAGATTTGGAAGTTTCATATTTGGTCTAGGTACTGGTCTCCTGTTCAATATGTGATTTTTTTTTTTAAATGTGTAACTCAGATTGGCCCTGACCTCGATCCTCCTGCCTCTGCCTCCATCAGCAAATCCTACCGGCGTGCACCACCACAACCGGCTCAATATGTGATTTTTTAGAATATTCTTTTTTTTGTCGGTGTCTTTTTTTCCCCCTCTTTATAGGGTTTTTGCAGAGCAAAATTTGTTTTAATCCTGATGAAGCCCAGCTAATCAATATTTCTTCATGGAGATTATGCTTTTAATGTTAAATCTAACCTTAGGGATCAATGGTTTTTTCAATTTAAAAAATTCTAATTGTTTTATATTTTATATTTAAGTCTATAATTGATTGGAGTTAATTTTCTATAGGATGTATGCTTTAGTTGGGATATACTTTCCTCCTAATGATTCATCTATAAGAGCTTTATCTTCAGTGTAGTATTGAGAGATGGAGGAGCATTTTAAAGGTGAGGCCAGCAAGAGGTTGGTCAGTTATTGGTGATGTCCATCGAGCATGACTGGAACCCCATGCTTGCTCTGTCTTCTTGTGTCATCATTTAATCTTTCTTTCCATGCTCTTGCTGTTATGATTCTATATATCACTTACCACGAGGTCCTCAACCAGAGCCTCATAGTATATGTCAGCACCAGGTCCTTGTTACTCCAAAAGAGCAACACAGTGGGATTTTATTAAACTGGAAATTAAATGAAACTATGAAATTCCCAAACAAATGGATGGATCTAGAAATTATATTAAGTGATAATAAATTTAACTAGACTCAGAAAGACAAATATTAAATACTCTCTGCCATATGGGGAGTGTAGTTTGAGTGGATGTGCATACTCTCTCTCTCTCTCTCTCTCTCTCTCTCTCTCTCTCTCTCTCTCTC